AATCAACCTTAGAGATTGCTCAGCCTCGTCCTACACAGCCTAGTAACCTCACCCTTGCTAGGCACCGCAGAGCTAAAACTTACTTTTTAGTCCCTCGTTTAGACCAGCACTTCGCTTACTCTGTCGCACTTCTCATGCAAACTTGAACAGCGTCATGCCTTCCCTGCACCAGGCTTGGCTTGCCCTGCGGGGGGGGCATTGCCGTTGCTTGTCTCTGACACAGTCACCTGCACTCCCCATCTTCACCAGGCCATATCAATCAAGACCGCTTTAGTATTACTGCATCAAGAGCGGGTAGAGTTGTTATTACACACTCTCACCAGTGATGTCAACAAAAGCGTTTACTCCCTCCTTACCAAGAAAACCCAACCGTCACGCCCTTTCATTACTCATTCAGGGCGAGTAGATATCACCACCCTACCGCTTACGGGGTTACGTCCCGTTAGCAAGGCGAGAGAATTTTCCTCGGGGTCGACGATGCTGATCGAAATCAAGGTACGGTTCGCTTCACTCATCTTACTTCCGCACGCGATCCACCATAAAGCTGGTTCCCTGCCAGCAATGCAAAAGTGCCTTCTCACGAAGTTCGAGTTTAACATACTCATACTTCGGAGAGACTTGTGAAAGTCAAAAGCACTTTTCACGCTGAGTGTCCATCCATACTCACTTCTCTCGTGAGCTTGCACCGTAACTACTTGGCGAGTGAGCGAGAAAGCGCTCCGAGACAAGTCTCTGGCGGGACGCGCAAGAAGATACCAAGACTGGTCACTCTGACAAAATGCACAAGAAGACTTGCCGAGGCTGGTCACTCTGACGAAAATGCGCAAGAGGACTTGCCACTTTTTCCATATCCAGCGAAATCGCCCTCTGCTCCTCTATACCTCTACACCACCTCTTCCCTTCGTTGGCCTCCTCGCTCCTCCCCGGCTGGCACGTGTATTCCGTGAGTCACGTTTAGATCACTTACACTCTAGAGTTTGAGCAATGTTCGCATCATCGCTCACGTGCTGCGCTGGCCCTTTTCCTTCATGCGTGAGCATGCCACGTGTAGGCTGAGCACACTGGTCCTMACTTCATGCTTCGTCCCGCTCTCTAAGAACCCACTTGTTTATCCACCTCTCCGACTAGTGCAGCAGGCTCTCACCACATACTCGTGTCTGCCAGCAGTTTGACATCAACCACATTGCACTCTCTTTCTCCCCCTTTCTCTTCGTGGCGTTCAGCAAACGCGCACGCCATACGTAAGCATGGCAGCAGCTTTCTTCACCTGTCCGCGCATTCCGTTTTCACCCCTTTTTTTTTCTCTCTCTCGTTGACCTTTCTTGACGCGCACGTGCAGGACGAGCATCTCCGCATGTGCCAGCCCCACGGCACTTGCCTCTCCGTTTTCGAGTTCAGCTCGCCCCTCGTTGACCTTAGGGCGCCGGATTTTCACACTCGTCCTTTCCCTCTGCCGCGTTCCTCTCCCGTCTCGCGGCCTCTGGGCGCCAGTTGCCGAGAGCTGGCCCATGGTCCCTGCTCCACTGACTTCACTGCCCGGTGATGCCTCTCGATCTCACCTGGTCTGTTCCAGGACCTGAGATCCGTCTCCCGATCTGCATCACTCATCTCGCTTTCTCCTCCTGAGTCCGTGTCCTGGTGGATCTGTTCTTGGTCTGCCGTGTCCATCGAGGTCTCAATCTCGTGATAGGCCACCGTTATCCGTAGCCTTGCCGTCACTCCGTCCCGTCTGCAACGTCTCTCAGCCCGGTCTCTCGTCTCCGAAATCGCGTCCTGTAACTTCGAGTTAGTCCGCATTTCCCCTTCTCTTCCTCCCTCCTCGTTGATCTTCAGTACCAGCTCATCTCCACCGTCATAGTTGAGTATGGCAGTGATCCACGGTCCTTCCCCGGACACGGGCTTCCAACGGGCCTGGTGATACCAGTACCCAGGTCTATACCCGTGCAACGCCACAGCTTTCGCTCAGAATAGACAATCCTGTCTCCAAGAACAGGCACTCGGTTCGCAGAGACACCCTCTACCCCTGACTTATTGGTCTCAAGCTAGCTGCGCCAGCACACTAGGTAGCCAGCTGATGCACTTTAACTGGCCGCCAGATAGCCAGCACTAGCGCTCCGGAGCGGGTGATGGCTAACTAGACTCAGATCCGTCAGGAACAGAGGACCTCAGCGAGCCACCACCGCCCTACTCGAAACACGACAGCCTCACTCGCTTGCCGGAAGACCCAAGGGCTCCCTCTTTTATAGAACTTAGAAAAGCTGCGATCTCGGCGCGTTGAATAAAATTCAAATAATAATTTAAAGTGTTTATAAAAAAATAAAATACAAATATTCTCAAACAAATTTCTTTTTGAAGAATCAGCATTCGTAACTCAACGATCGTAGTACAGACTAGACCTCTTGCTACTGTCACCTTCAGGACTCCGCAACGCTACTACTGACCAACAGCGACTGAGACGGTCCCATAACGGGATACCGACCACCTATTTCCTTCCTATTAAAAACACCAGAATGCTACCCCTAATGGGTACCCACGTCTGATGGCAAGGAGGGGGTTTATGACCCTCTATAGGGGGTGATATTCCTCCTACCAATGCGGTCGCGGGTCGCCCTCCTTTTGGGGTCCAACCGCGCGGCACGGTCGGCGCTCATTCCCAGATGATACAAGAGGGCCAACATCGCAACTCCAAATTCGGACTGTTGGCCTTTCCGCGAAACGACAAAAGGAAAAAGAAAGGCCGCGTCTGAAAACCAGTGAAGTAATAATGATAATAATAATAAATAATAATAATTACGGAAAGAAAAGAACGGTGCTTCAAGTCTCCTTCGTGCCACCGCTTCGCCTGGATAGCAGTGCAAGTCCATGCACAAGCCCAAAACCCGATTTTCATCCTTACCCCTTTTCTTTCCTTTTCACACTTCCATTTTTAAGCCCACTGTATCTGCCCTGCAGTACAGCTACTGGGGGTCCTACGACGTGGAGCCTAGACGCGCAGGCCCAGTACAAATGGCATTCGAAGGGTTGGGGCCTGGTTAGGCCACAACACCACCGCCCAAACTCGACGCCCGAAACGTTAACCCGCCTATAAAAAGAGAAGAACCGCGTCTGATATCAGCTGATGAAGATATAATAATGATAATAAATATAATAAATAACAACTCTGATTGAGACGTAACGACGAACAACTATAGAACGTCGATTTTTCTCGATTAGCTACCATCAGTTCACATAGACTAGGTTCTCAACTGTCATTTATTTTCCTTTTTGCATTTCAACTTTTACATTTATTTTCCTAGCCTTGTCTCTCTATGACAGTGACCATTGGTCTATGTACCTAACCCATAACTCAGTAGAGGGGCGATTGGCGCACAATTGAAAAGACTAAGCCAGCCCTCTCACCTCCGCGTCCCAGGGCGAACCCGGTGGCTACCACGACCACAGGCCGGTTGTGCTC